AGTTAGATTGTGTACAGCTAGAGCTTAAAAAGCCTATATAAACAGTAAACTTACTTAAATTTACTTTAGTTAACTCTATGCGCTATCTAACTTCTATTCCTACCCACTTTACTACCTGCTCCTGCTGCTCCTGCTGCTCCTGCTGCTCCTGCTGCTCCTGCTGCTCCTGCTACCCCTCTAAGCTCTACAAAGCTATTTACTCTTTAATATAGCTACTTAAAGCAACAGAGATTCTTGCAGAGGTGCTAAACTACTCTATCCTTAAGTTTAAACCTACTAATAGTAATAGTATAGAGCTTATTACCTAGATTTAATATAAGGCAAAGGTTATTAATTATCTACTTTTACTTAATTACTACTTTACTAGCAGTAACATAGTTAATATTATCTTTCTCTTCCTCCTGTTGCTCTATAAGCTAGGAAAAGAACTCTTTTATAGTTACATAGGTATCTACTTTGCTAGCTTTAGCTACTAGGCTTAACAACAGAACTAGGAGACTTGCTGTACGTAGCATTAATAGGGTTACTAGTTAAAAAGGCGCTGCTATAATAAAAGACAATAGGTACAGTAGCAGCAGCTGCCCACCTAAGAAGGCGCCTGGCAGAGCTGCTAGCAGAGCTGCTAGCATCTGCTAAAGCCTTATCTGCTGCATTTAGAATTACTAAAACTCTTACTGCTTTGCTTAAGCTACTTTATCCTTCTTTATCTTTGCTATCTAATTTATTAATTACTACTTCTCTGCCTGTTTCTGCAGCTTTTTTAGCGTTAGCTTATCTAAATTAGATAACAAATTATGCCTTTTTTTCTTACTTTTTTAACTATAAGGCTTTACTTACAGCTTATTACTTTATAGCTTTAAGGCCTTAACTATCTTATAAGCTAGATATAAGGCTAATAATTTGCTTATAATAATAGACCTTACTTAAGCTTTTACATTAATTAGTTTAATCTTATAGTAAGCACTACTTAGGTAGATATAACATTATTAACTACTATTATTATAAAGATTAACATAGCACTTTTACATTTAGTAAATTATTAATTAGTAATTTATAGCTATCTTAATGTCTTTTACATGCTTTATAGCCTTTATCTTCCTTAGCAGTTGCTTACTGCAGTAGGCGCTTATAGAGATGTTATTACCTAGCTTAGATAAAGCCTTGTTAAATAACTAATTATATAAGAAGACTTTTTACAGCGCCTTAACCTAAACGCAGATCTCTACTTTAAACTCCACGCGCAATATATCTTTAAAGTAGGTAATATAATAATTAACTATTTTAAATAGCTAAACTTTTTTAATAGTACTAAAATTTAACAGCAGTACACACTGCTAAGCAGCACCTCTTTTATCTAGACAGAAGCTAACGCTGCGGCTCTGTACGCAGTGCCCACAGCTGTTAATTGTTAACGCTAGGTTATTAATTAGTAATGTTACTTTGTCCTCTATAAATAACATTAAAAAGAACATATGCTTACAGTTATTATAATCTTCTACTACTTTAACCCTATTTATGCAGAGAATATATGTTATATCTATATTATATTAGGGCTGCTAGGGTAGCGGCGGCAACAACAGTAGATCTAGCATAATGCGTGGCGACTTAAGAATTTTAATTAGGGCAGGTACAATAGCAGGCAACAGTAATAGTGTAAGAGGCTCTTTTATATTAACCTAGGTAACTAATTTCTAGTTACACGCTGCTACAGCTTCTCCCCTTCTCCTGCTACTACTAGCCTACTTATTAGGCTTTCTTAACAACTAAGCAGCTACTTTAGCAGTAGGCTGTTAGACAGTACTAGTACTTAAACACGTTAACTTAGCTAGAGGCGCTTCTGCTACCCCTAGTTAGGTGCCTCTGCAGGCTATAGTAAGATGCTAGTAAGGCCTTCTTAACACTAAAGAGTTAGCTTTAACTTTATTCCTAATTAGGTAGTTAAATCTTATAATATTATAATAATATTAGCATAGTTTAGGGCGTATTACTAATGTGTCTTAATTTCTATAAGGTTTGTGTAGGGACAGAGACAGAAGCAAAATCGCTAAGGAATTCCGCCAATTAATGCAACTAATAGATCGGAAAAACAAAAGCCGAGCAACACAAGTAGAGCAGAAAAAGGATCGATAAATCAACACAATAAATCATCATCCCATACATCATATCAAAAACCCATCATTCATCTCAGGAAGCCTAGAAACAGTGCTTTAATCTGACAATATTAAGTAGTTATACTTTTTAAAAAGGTGTAGTATTTAATGTTATAATCTTTACTTTAGAAAGCACTTAGGTTAAAGTTGTTTCTTATAATAGAACAGAGGAATAGAGGCTAACAGCAGGGTGTACAGTCCTACATAATAGCTAATAGGCTAATAGAGTAGGGGAAGAGCAACTAGATTGTAGTTTGTCCCTATAGCAGCAGTATAGTAGCTAGGTTAAACAATCCTGTTAGACAGAATTAGAGGTATATATATTGTAAGATATATAAATAGTATTATAGCTTTTTAAAAAGCTAAATGCTACTTAGTCTATATAAAAAATAAACTAAACATTAAACACACTTTTTAAAAGTTATTTAAAGTTAGAACTATATACATGTCTAATAGTGCTAAGAATAAGTTGTGTAAGCTTGTTAAGTTTACAGTACAGCAAACTTGCTTAACTTATTAAACTTGTTTAACTTGCAGCCTGCCTTCTTATTAGATAACACATTCTTCTGTAATTACAGGCAGCTGCGTTGTCTCCGCACCTTCTAATTAGTTTGTAAACAAGTCCTGCTCTAACCTAGCTAGATTATAGAGTACTTTAGGTGGAGTTATGTTAGTCTAACTATAGACTGTAACACCTACCTTGTACGCTGTGCACACTGTACACCACTCTTACTCTTGCTACTTAAGCGCTACACTATAAGCAGCTAGCTAAAAGAGCCTATTTAATAGTTTAAGTATTTTTAAAAGATAATTTAATTACTTTTTAGCACACTTTTATATAGTAATAAAAGTAATTAAGTAAAAAGTAGAATTAGTTAACACTTTTTTTACTTTATAACTAAACTAAGTACTTTAATAGTTTTGCATTAGATTTTAAAGTAATAAAAACTACTTTAGTATAGTAACTATAATTTAGCTATTAAAATTACTAATATTAAAGCTACTTATCTTTACTTTAGTTTTAATATTATACTTTATAAAAAAAAAGTGCACTACTAATAAGTTAAGTTTATATAATAGCTTTTTAATATTAACTATATTCTAAAATATATATTAATCTTTTAAGAGTATTTTTAAACTATATAGTTGTTTTAAAGCTACATAAATATGCAATATGCAGGCAGTAGATAGATAAGTATATAAAACTAAATTAACATAAAAGGTGTATAAAAAGTTACTAATACTAAAATTAAGCTATTTTAAAAGCTAAAGTACTTTTATAAGTTTATCTACCTAAAATATAAAAGGCTAGTAAGTAGTTAGTAGGTGCGTGTTAAACAAAAAATTAAAAAAGTTAAGTAGTAAAAAAAATAATAAAAGCATAAAAAGTAGTAACGTACCTAACAGGTTAGCCGGCCACTTTTGCCAAGCCCCCACTAAAACTACCCTATTCTAGCGCAAAACAGCCTACTTTAGCCCTATATAAAGCAATACAACATAAGATATTATTTAAAGTCTACTTTTACTACTTTTTTATACATACGCAAGTTATGCCTAGTCTAATTGCACTGCCTATATTACTTTTAACTTAGCTTACCTTCTTTAGTGCGCACTTATGTCTTTAGCTTTTTCTTATTACTACACGCTTTAAACTTCTTTAAAGCAGTTAAACAAGCCTTATTCTTAACTATTAAAGTTTTTTCTGCCTAAATTTACTTTCTTTTATATAATTTATGTTATGTAGTAGCCTTATTTACTGCTTAAAGCTTTATAATCTTCTTTTATGCTAATACTAGCTTATGCGTAATAATTACTACTCTTTTTAAAACTTTTTTAAAAGCCTTTACTATAGACATTAGTAAGCTATTTATATGCCTTTAATTTTTTACTTTTATAAGTATTAATTATAACTTAAATTTAAAGGTATTACTTAAAGTTTATAACTACTAGAGCTTATTATTAATAAGTAGTAGTAGTAATAAAGTATATAACTAGATATTAAGAGCTATTTTAACTTATTTTAGGTTAAATAAAACTAAACTAGCGCTTTAAAACTCTTTTTAGATATTACTAAAAGTAATTACTGCATTATAAGCGCGTATAAAGTATAGTAAAAACTTAAGTTTTATAATATAAGTAATTTAGTTACATATAAGATCTTTAGCTTAGCACTTATACACCTTTTTTAAAAAGGCAAAACAACCTATATTAAGAGGCTATAAAAGGTGTAATAAGTGTAAAAGTATATAAATAGTAATAATTTTTTTTATAGTACTACTAGAAATTAAGTAAGTTATAGCTCTTATAGCTATTAATAATAAAAAGCTAATAAGTGCCTATAACTTTTTTTTATATGCTTATTAAAGTGCTTTAACTACTATAGCCTAAGCTTATTTATTATCTAGCTATTTTTAGAGACTGTAATAACCTAGTTTTAAGGTAGATTTTTTTTTATACTAGGCAAAGAGGTAATAGCAGCCTTTAAAAATAATAAAAAGTAGAATAGCTTACTTTATTATGTTAATACTTTAAATAACTATTATTTACTTTTTATTACTTTACTATATTACTTTTAGCTATTTTTATTTCTTTAAAGCTATAATAACTACTTTAGTTAATATTTAGCTTATTATAAAGCTTAACTTATTAAAGTTATACATGTCTTTATTCTAGATACTATACTTAGCTTTTATATTAGCTACTAGGTAAAACTAGCTTTAGATAACTTCTAAATTTTTATAAAGCACTTTTTTATAATTATACTTATAATTAAACTTTATTATAAACTTAGAGCAGTGCTTAACCTACATACTAGGCTAGTTTAAGCTAACCTAGCCTAAATTACACTCTATGCGTAAGGAATTAGCTATATTAGCTATAGCTATAAGCCTAAAAGGAAATCTATGTATAATAAGCTTAAGTATATACTTAATAACTACTTTTTTTTAAGCTTAGTTAGATTCTTTAATTTAAGCTAGTATTCTGCTTTTAAAGGCTGTCTAGCGCGTTAATTACTTAGTGTTATATAAAAAATATTATAAATAGCTACAGTGTGTTATAAAAAAAGTTTTAAGTCTTATTTAAAAGCCTAAAAAGTAAGCTGTATCTAATGTTCTTTAGAAGATTTAATCTAGTGTTGTTGTTAAGGCATTATGTAGATAGGTAGAGTATAGTAAGGGCTTAGCAAAAGTAGCCGGCTAACCTGTGTAGCTAGCTAACCTGTTAGGTACGTTAAGAATAACTTTATAGTATACTATAGATTAAAATGCTAGAAAGTAAAAAAGCCTTAAAATAATATTATTAAAATAAAAAATATAATAAAGCTAGTAAAGTAGGTAAGTAGTAAGTGTTAAGTAAAAAATAATAATAAATAACTAACATATTTTTACATATAAAAGCTAAAATTTTCTTATTAAAGTAAAATTAATTATAAGTATAGTACTAATAATAGTATAAAAAAAGTAAAAAAGTTATAGCTACTTAAAAAAAGCTAAAAGTTATTAAGAAGTTAATTTTTTTAGCTATAGTTAAAAGAATTAGAAGTGTTATGCTTACATAGGCGCACTAAAGTCTCTTAGACAGAAGGAGCTTTAAGAAAATTATAGCTTTTAATTAGTTTAGAAAAAACTTAGTAGACTATAAAAAAACAGCTTTACTTTAAGGAGTATAGTGTGGCGCTAATTAAAGCCCTTGACCGTCTGAGCTTGCTGAGATAACTAATACCTGTTCGTACAGCCTCTGGATATATAGCCGCTTCTCTTGAGCACGTTTCCACAGCAGTAAATTAACTTCCAAGTCCCCTCTACAGCCTCTAATTAAGGCAGGTATCTAAACTCGCCTCAACCTTCCCATCGCAAGTTACCCTTCTAAACACTGCCGAGCACTTAGCTTGGCGATCAGAATTCTGGTCAAAACACCAAGAAGCGGTGCAGCCGGCTTGCATATTCAGGCCGAAATCCCCCAAAGAAGTCGCCATCGCAGTCCTCATTTGTCGCTGGTCAAGATGCGCGTTTGCAGTCAAAAGCGGCGGTCATGCTGCCATGAAGGGTGCTTGGAATAGTGACGGGGGTATTACCATCGATCTGGTGGATCTTGACAGCATCGAACTGAGCGAGGATAAGAGGATCGCGAGACTCGGGACAGGGAACACGTGGATGAATGTGTATGAGAAACTAGCAAAAGATGGATTGGCAGTAGTTGGAGGGCGAGCTTCTGATATCGGAGTTGGAGGGTTCACTCTAGGCGGTGTGTAATTGATTGACTTCCCACTAAAGAACTCTGACGAAATTTCCTCAGGGGGCATATCCTTCTTCGCCTCCCTCTACGGCTGGGGCTGCGACAATGTCGCCAATTTCGAAGTCGTCACCGCCAGTGGCGACATCCTCCAAGTTAACCAACAATCCTACCCAGACCTCTACTGAGCTCTCCGAGGCGGCGGTCCTAACTTTGGCATCGTAACTCGCTTCGATCTTGAAACCTTCCCCCAAGGCAATATATTCGCTGGCAGTATTGCATACCACTACCCTACACAAGCTACCGCCGCTATCTCTGCATTCTCCAATATTGCATACAACCCAGATCTGAAGGCTTCGACGTGGCTCGTGCTAGTCAATCGCATAGGCCACGATACCATCTCCACTTTAACCATGTACAAAGACCCCAATCCTCACGCCGAGGTGTTCGGCGAGTACAAATCGATGCCGAATCTCATGGATACGACCAAAGTCCGCAGCCTGGAAGACATGACACTTCAGGTTCGTGCGACGAATCCCAAGAATCTAAGGGAAATGTATTGGACGCATACATTCAAATTCTCAGGCGACTTCATCCGCTGGTTTGCAGCTACTTTCTTCAAAGAATTAGAGGGAACGAAAGGGAAATATGAACGCCATACCCCAGTCCCAGTGTTCCAGATTATCACGCCCGAGTGTGTGGCGCGGATGAAGGGGAATGGGGGAAATTGTCTCCCACTTATGGAATCGGAAGCGCCGTACATGAACCTGATATACTCATGTTCGTGGCAGAATGAGGAAGATGACGATTACATCATTGGAATGATCGCGAGGCTTATGGGAACAGCGGTTAAAGAGGGGAAAAAGAGGGGATTGTGGGTCGAGTATGTGTATATGAATTATGCGAGCGAGTATCAGGACGTATTGGGAGGCTACGGAGAGGAAAATGTGGCGAAATTGAAGGTCGTTGCGAAGAAATATGATCCACAGGCCATCTTTCAGACTTTGATGCCCGGGTATTTTAAACTATGCGGTGCACCTAGAATCAGCGGGCCCGGGGTTTGGAAAGAGGATTAGAGAGGGCATCTTACGGCAAATATGCGAACCTAACACTAGTAAGGAAAGAAAAATCAACAGAAAGAATCATCTTCCGGAGGCGAATATGGAGATTACGTGGGAGACGAGAGAGGTGAGAATTAGGGGGAGCGGTAAGGAGGAGAGTGAAGAGGGACAGAGATAGCAGGAGGATGAGATGTGAGATATGATGAAGGTTTAGAGTGAAGGAACTGGGTGAGTGAGTTGGATGCTAACTTACTTTCGTACCTGTGCTCGCTAATACATGTCCTATAAATCTGTTCGTATCTATATCTGCTTCATATTCGTAATAAACAAAAACCGAGGTCTTTTCTAGTGGTTGGAATGAAGTGTTCGACCGATCGATCTTGATCAGATAGAAAATATCTGACAGCAAGCAGAGTAACAAGAAATTTGAAGTATTTTCATAGACAAAAGTTTCTCGGCATTTACCTACCAGCCCCCAATATCTCTATGCTAGTGAGCAGCCAGATAGAGTACGATGAAGTATTTTGTGACAGTGAATTGATCATTCAATGCTGCATATCCTCGTGTAGATGTAGATCACGTGTTAGATCCATACCTGGAATGTGGTTAGTAGAAGAGAATAGCTGGACTCATCATTAACATATGAAGCGCCGAGCTGTCCAGGCAGCATTTTCCATTCATCTGACTTCGTGAGTCCACCGTGCTGCTGATCTGTCTTAGCCAACGTCGGCAATCTGAAATTTTGTGGCTCAACGCGCGGGGTCGCGTCTGCGGGGCATTTATAAAAAGCAATCTGCTTGCAAACCTTGAAAGTGTTTGAACAATTGAGGACCGTTCCTATCTCACAATCTCTTCTCTGGATCATATATTTCATTCAAGTTTGTGTCCAATATGATCACGGTAGCTGTTGCAGGCGGGACTTCACCAGCAGTTGGCCGCGCAATCCTCGTTGGCTTAAAGCAATATCCAGAGCAGCTCAAACCGGTTGTTCTAGGAAGAGTTACTTCCGAAACTCCAAAATGGTTGCTAGATATGGGAATCGAAGTGCGCAAGGTGGATTATTCTTCAGAGGACTCGCTAATTTCTGCATTGCGGGACGTTCATACAGTAGGCCTATCCCGGATCTGTCATACACAGATAACCAATACGCCCAGGTAATCTGCACACTCCTCGCAAAGGATGGGACATGGGCCAGCACCCAGATCAATCTCTTAAATGCTAGTCTAAAGGCTGGCGTATCCCGATTCGCACCGGCAGAGTTCGGGTGCGGCGCACTTGCCGCCCCAAAAGTGGCCTTGCTGAGCCCCCAAATCGCCGTTATAGACGCTTGTCGTGAGGCAAAACGTCTGCATCCGGAATTCGAGTACGCAGGGTTCCATGTTGGCCTGTTTATGAATTACCTTGCGTACGGAGGCCCGAATGAACTAGAAGCGTTGAATGGATTGAATGATAGGGTTGAGTTCATCTGGCATATCAAAGACATGAGGGCGGAGATTCCTTTGACGAAGGATGGGGACATTCCCCGAATGACGTTTACGGAGATTGGCGATGTTGGGCGAATGACTGCAGCAGCGTGTTTGCTGTCGAAAGGGGAGTGGCAAGAGGATTTTGGGATGGAAGGTGAGACTGCTCGAATGGATGAAGTTGTGAGAGTTATCGAAACCGTGAGCGGGGGAAAGATGACGGTGACCTTTAAGCCATTCGAACAGGTGGTACGAGAGAAAAATGAGGAGACGGATCCGTACAAGAAGTTCTGGAAGGAGCTCGAGATGATGTGTGCGAGAGACGTGATTGGGGAAGGAATTGTGGCACCAATATTAAATGAGGTTTTAAAGAAAAGTGGCTTGAATGTGCAGCCACCAAATAGTATAAAGGATTGGTGCATGAATATCTTTAAAATCTCGGCAGGAGGCTGAGTTTGTGAAAAATTCGTAGGTAGATAACATTCTTTAGGAGGGATCTACGAATCATTGTTGATAATATCTTCATAGTTTTGAAAGGAGCCTAGAATTGCTCCCACAGGAAATAGGCTCTGGTGCCCAGCCAATCTAGTATTCAAGGAGACCGGATTTTCTTAGCGCAACTTTCTGTGGCGTCTGCAAGAATCTACTCGGCGCCCACATTCTAACTCACGCGATGTGATGTGATGATCCTCAACAGACCTCTGAATCAAAGCATCTGCTCAAGGAAACCCCTGCACTCCCTAACTCATCGATTGCCGATTTCAAACCATGGCTGTTATACCTCCTTTGACCAAATACGTCAACCTTGGCCCTCTTTCGACTGCGATATTGTTCCCAGCCTCGTGCACAAACACATTGTATGATCTAAAGCATACATACTTTGGCCTAGATGAGTTTGTCCCTACCGCAGGATGTGCGCTGAAAGAATGCTGCCCTAGTAGCAAATATTATACCGAGGACTGGGCCTGGTACACAAGTTACTTCTCCCCTGGGGTCTGTCCCCAGGATTACACGGGCTGTCCAGGTCCAGTATCGCCAATACTTCTTAGCACCATACCCGGGGAGACAGTGGTCTTTTGCTGCCCTAGAGGCACGTCGGTTATCTCCATTGAGGAAAATTGAGAACTGATATTAGTAGGGTACGGATGTCCAATGCAATCGCCATTCTATGGCGCATGCGGGAGTCCGCTGGCTACGCCCACAACCACTTTGCTGGTTCTAGACGATCTCGATCATCAATCCAGCATCTCATGGAGATCATACTACTCAACGAAAACTGATTTCCAAAATTGGGCTGTCGCATATCCAATTCAGGTTCGCATGGGAGGCTCACCCACCGCGACGTTAAGTACAACGGTTCAGGGTGCTAAGGATTCATATTCCTCTTCAGTAACCACGAAAGGTAGCACCGGCTCAATATCTGAACCAACTTCAGTCAACCCACCGTCCATGAAGCCATCAAACGGGTTGTCTACAGGAGCCATAGTTGGCATCGCGTTCGGTGGCTTCTTCAGCGTAGCACTGGTGATTTTCGTCTTCCTTTGGCTACTTCGTCAGCACCGCAATGCACCAGCCCAGCCTCCACTCCCGGAAGCAGCAGTAACATATAAGGCAAACACTCAAGATGGAGGCATGGCGCTGACACACCAACTACCCGAGATCCATGAAATGGTGAGTCTGCGTTTTTCTTTTGCTTAGGTGAAGAGGGCTTCACTAAACTGGAGAAACTCTAGCCTTATAATACTCGGCAGTTCTCAGAACTCCCTCCAAACTCCGAATTTCGATGATCCGCCTATTAGCGATATTGAACAAGCTAAGGAGCGCAGGTCGGGATTAGGCAGGTGCATCGAAGCGAGGGCTATAGGATGCTGGTGTAGTTTGCGCATAGAGGGTGGACTAGACCGAGATATGGAGCTGGAGTTGAATGATGTGCATTTCTTGTTCTCTTGATTTGGCTGGTGTGCTTGTTGACGTTTATGGACCGACGGAAGAACGACCTTCCAAGGAAAGCTATTGTAGCGCTCAGACTATTGGTTGAATGAACACAACCGAATCTCCGAGAATGATCATCATCTAGCTATCTCAAACTGCTAGACACCCCCAAGCTCAATACAAAGACGCCTTCAGTTTCGTAAAGTCCGTTACTAATTGGCCATCTTTCCAGACACCTTCCACCAGCATCGGTCTTCCGGGTTTTCCATCTCGCGGAAGCTCATTCAGCCATCCCCATTGCGCTTTCTCCTTAAGACCAGCATCTTTCCAGTCATTCAAATCCTTGTCCGGCTGGTCGTTCAAGAAAGGTAATACTTCGAGAAGAACCGGATCATGAGCGATGCATACGAAGATGTTTGGGTCCTCGTCGAACCTTTGTAGCTCTTTGATGCTCTTTGCAGCTTGGGTGCGATCGAGATATGCTGACTGAGGAAACGAGGTTACTTCAAAGAACGGCGATGTCTTGCACTCATCTGACTGAGGGCCTGCGGGATGAATAGCAGTGAATATCGAGCATGGACACGGGATTGGGAAGTGTGAGTCGAGGTGTAAAGATGGAACGGGGTCAGGAAGAGGAACAGTAGGAGAAGGTCTGAAGCTCCCGCCGAAGTGACAAATATCTCCACCCAGGAAGACGAACGTTGTCGGCGTTGTTCGGGCAAGGCCGCACATATGTCCGATGGCATGGCCCGGAGTGTCGATAAGGTAGAAGGAGCCATCGCCGAAGAAGTCGAATGCTCTAAAGTTTCCAATCTTAAAGGAATCGTCGAAGGATATCTCACGATATTTGCGGTCACTTGACATTATTTAGACAAGGTCTACTATCACGACACATTTCATACTTACGCAAAATTGACGTCCAAAAAAATGGAGCTTGGATTTGTTGGATAGCCTGGCATGAAGTTGTCCTTGAAACCAGGTCCTACGACCACCTCCACCGATGGAGGATATTTCTCAGGTGCACCATGATGATCCCAATGCCAATGGCTCCAGATCATGGAATCCAGCTCTTCCAACTGCACGCCTGCCTCGATGACAATCTCATGGATGTCCTTTTCGATCTTCAGTCCTCTCACATTCAAATTTAGTCGATTTTTGATGACTGGGGAGAAGTTTTCGAAATCCTTTCTCGCACCGCAGTCGAATAGAACCTTTTTCCCGAGACCCGTTTGTTCGACCAAGAAGGTGACGCTAGTAAGATTCAAGTTCTCGTGACCAGGGAGGATAGGCTGCACGAAGCCTTTTGCGGAGACGCACACCTGAGTCTTCGCATCGATAGCCCGCAAGCGAACCGTACTGACTGAGTCTGGAACGTTCAGGTTTGCCATCTTTGCCGTTCGCTTGCATATGCAGATAAACTAGCGAATGAAGTTCGTGGCCAAGATCGTAGGGCGGGGAAGGCAGAATGCGGATGGAGAGTGGAAAGGTCAAGGTGGAAGAAAGAATCCGGATGTGTCACGAAAAGCTTAACTGGGTATTTCTGTTCAAGAAGGATGTGGGAGACATCGCATCTCTGGAGCCGATGTGAGGTCGGACACTTGCAATCTCCTCCAGACAACCGACAGATTGAAATGATAAACACTCAGCACGAACGACTACTCGATCGCCGATTGAAAGGCAAGATGGCTGAAGTGGCGGTTCGGAGGAGCAAGCTCGTTCTCGTGTGCGTCGTCCCGGAGTCCCGCATGGCTGGCGCTCTTATCTCGGCGAGTGGGATTCAATTACCGGGAGACTGGCCCACGGGATCACTGGTTCGCCGGAAATAGCCGCAACAAGCGGACAGTTGCCCAATTGCAGACCTCTCCGCATGACTACCATGCACTTTCGCCATGAATTTTACACCATTTGGCGTCCGCGGGCTAAACAGACGCGCAGTCTGCGCTTCACCTGCATTTGTACGACCATGTCAGAACTTTATCCCACTCGCACAATGAACATCTGATGGTATTGCTATGGTTCGATCTCCACCCCTTTGCGTCGAGTTTAGCACCCTTTCAGACTTCGCTTCTTGGGAGGCGGAAACTGGTAAAAGCCTCGACCGCTTTAGAAGGGGCGGTGAGTCGCGATTTAAGCCAGTTAGTTCCATCATATCGCCAGAAATTGCCCTCAGGGCATGTAGTATCAACCTCAAAACCTACCAAAAAACTTTAAAGTCGATCCCCCCAGAAGCTTGCGCTCAAACCAGGCTAAGCAGTTGTCTGTCCTGTCCCAGTTACTAGGATACACGTGTCGGCTGTAGGCACCCTTGCCACTGTCGAAGCCACTTCCTCTCATGCACCAGCTGGGGCAAGGTATATTATACAATCAGGAGCAGCGATACATCGCGACTCGGCACCACCTAGCCAACCTAACGTCGCCTATAGACGCGACACACTCCTCCATCAGCAAGCGCGAGTCGACGAGACCCGCTCTCGTGGTCCTCATCTGTGTGATCCATTTTTCTAGCACTCCATTGCGACGACACCAGCTGTGATTTGAGAGCTTTCGCGAAAGTGAAGATGTCGGAGAAGGTTTTCACCGAGGAGAAGACGACGGCGAAGAGCAGCAGCGATCAGGATACCGTTGAGGACCTTGTCTCCACAAAAGCGCAGAGATACATTACAAAGCTCGATTTGCGACTAATTCCAGTCCTGGGATGCACGTACACCATTCTCTTCCTGGATCGAACAAACAGTGAGTCCCCGCCTACCAACCCACCGCAGGACCGTCTATTGACATTGCGCAGTCGCCAATGCCAGAATTGAGGGCCTGGAGAAGGGTCTTAAAATGCCCGCAAATGGCTACAACACTTGCCTCTGGATTTTCTTTATCCCATTCGTTCTAATCGAAATTCCAAGCAACCTAATTATGAGTCTGCCTCGTATCAAGCCGAATATCTTCCTTGGATGCAACATGATTGTTCTCGGAATCATCGCGACTTGTCAAGGTCTAACGCATTCCTACGGCGGCCTCCTTGCTCTTCGATTTCTCATGGGTATCTTTGAGGCTACGCTCCCCGCTGGTGAGTGAGTCTGGTGATAGATGGATGAGGCTAATCTGTGCAGGCGCTGCCTTTCTAATTGGAGAGTATTACACCCGAAAGGAAGCTTCTCTGCGCTTTGCATGCTTCTTCACCTTTGGCGTTCTCGGTCCCTGCATCAGCGGTGTAAGTCTTTCTCCCAGCAACTAGAATTACCAACCAACATATGCTCAGCTCTTGGCGTATGGCATCCGCAATATGAATGGCACCCAAGGCAAAGAAGGCTGGAGATGGTATGTAACCTCTGACTTGTTTTTCTTCCCTCGAAGTTACTGATTTGCTCAGGATCTTCATCCTTGAAGGGATCTTTACCATCTTCATCTCCTTTTTTGTGTTTGCAATCGTGCCCGACTTCCCCGAGAAGACCAAGTTTCTCTCTGCTGCCGAAAAGGAGCATCTCCTAGATAAGCTGCACCGCGACAAGGGCGACCAGAAACTCGATCTAAAATCTGTGAATTGGGTGAAGGTGCTGGGGGATTACAGGATCTGGTTCCCGTAAGTCTATTCTTCTTTGAGGGTTCATGGCACTCGAAAGTAACACTTTCAAGCACTTTAATGTTTTTCTGCTGCGACATGACCGCCGCCTCCATGTCCTCCTTCATTCCCACGATCCTCACCGAGCTCGGCTGGAAGGCTGCTCGCGCACAGGTGATGTCGATCCCCATTTGGCTCACCGGCATCGTCTTCCAAGTCTTCGGCTGTTGGGTCTCCGGCCGCATTGGCAAGCGCTTCCCCTTCGTCCTCATGGGCATCACCCTCGCGCTTGTGGGATGGATCATTCAAGTCGCATACTCCGAGAAAAAGGGCGTTACAGCCGGCGTCCGTTACTTCTCGCTGTTCGCCATGAGCGGGGGAACCTTCATCCAGATGGCTATGCTGACCGCTTGGATGACTAATAACCTACGAGGTCGAGCATCTATCGGTGTTGGCACGGCTGTCATCCTGGGATTAGGGAATTGCGCAAACTTCGTGGCATCGAATGTTTTTATTAAGCGAGAGGCGCCGTTCTATCCAACGGGGTTTCGGACGGGGCTGGGATTGACGGTTTTCGGAGCGGTAGTTTGCGTGAGTTATGTGGGGGTGCTGTGGGGGCATAATAGGAAGGTTGATAGGAAGAGAAGAGAGTTTGGGGGAGAGGATGACCAGAAAGAGTATCGATATGTGTACTGAGGGATGCATAGTGTGCGGGCGAGGTATTGATGTTTGGGGAAGCATGCAAATACATACCAATTGACGACGACATAGATACCTAGTGACAGTTTCTGACACCCCACAATAGTTTTTAAGAAGAAAAAATGGCGATTTAGAGGAGAACAGCGGCTCACTTTAGGTTCCGTTGTCGCTAGGAGGCGGAACGGGGGTCTTTCATCACACTGATATCACATGGGTTAGCTGGTTTAGCTGGTAGCGCGACCTTTCCGAGGTCGGAACCAAATTTCGTACTGATCTCCAGCCGCCAACAACACTCTTCTCGCTATCCCGCCGAGCCGATGGCGTTTCCCGCCTTATTTACTAGCAAATTGTTGGGTATTATGAGTGCTGATTTGGTCCTGGATGCTAGATGCGGGGCTCCTGCAGCAGGAGGCTGAGCGGACCTGTAGGATGAGGCTGCCAGGCCGGGTCCTCAGACCGCCATTTTCAGCGATCGCGACACATCATCAGGCTCAGAACGACGCGTCTTGAAGCCTCACTCATTAACTATTGTGAGTCTACCCCACTTACTATTAACGCCATACCACATTATTCTCTTCGAGTAGCACCGCTAACCCCTCCTCCAGCACGAAGGTCTAGCATATACCCATTCCACAACCCCCCACAACCCACTTAGCATTCGCCCACCTGCCCAACATGGGCAAACCTGATGCTCTCGACCTCCCCATCCCCGACTTCGAACTCCCCTCCCTCCTCAAACGCGGCATCTCCTGGCTCAGCGTCCCCGGTGTCGCCCGCGATGCGATCGGCGTCTACAACGAATACGCCGTGGGCAAAAAGATCCGGCAAAACATGGGCAGCATCGAAGTGCTAATACCGTCTTTAACCTCCGCGCTCGGTGCCTCGCAAGCTTCGTCTCTCGTCTCCACCTTTGCACTCCCCGTCGGCGTCGGCGTGCTGGCACTGCAGGTCTGGCAGGGTGCAAAAGCCGCCGAGATGCTGGGACGCGTTGGCGATGTGCTGGATGCGCAGACGGGGTTGATGGCGGCGGAGAAGTTCGCGCAGCAGGTGTGGGATTTTGTGAGTCAGCGCGTGCATGAGACGGCCAAGGTCCCCGGTGAACGGCATTTCTTCTTCGTTTACCACCCCGATACGAATTGGTATCCCGCGCTCTACAAGCTGCAAAGGAAAGAGGGCCAGATTGATCGGTATATGGGCATGTCGGAACAGCTTGATCTCCTGTGCCATTGGATGAAGCATGTGCGGCAGTTTATGGGGCGATATAGTGGGAGAAAGAGAGTTGTGTTGCACCTACTCATGCCAGCATACCGTAGGATTTATATTCGCGATAAGCTTACTTTTCCGGAGGAGCTGTGTCCATTGGAGATTGAGGGCCATATTTATAACTCCGCTCCGTTTGTTACTTTGAATGTTACAAATAAAGAAGACGGACAGTTTGTCCTGAGTCGCGTTGGGAATGAGGCACCGAAGGACTCGAATTTGTGGAATCTTTGGGGTATGTGGACACCCGGAGGGCGGCCTAGGATGCTTGGTCAGGAAACCCCGGATCCCGAGGCAGAAAAGGAAGAGGAGATAAGAGCGGCTGCGAATGAAGTTTCACAGAGTGAGGCAGGCGGTTCTACTGCCACTGAGGAAACGGATGATACTTCAAGTACGGTCGCAGCGAGCACCGTTGCCCCCTCTGAGTCCAGCCGTTCTACCTCGAGTCGCAGTTCTAAGCGAAGTCATGGCTCGAGTTCTCGTTCATCGAGTCGACGTCCTGGAGCTAAGCCGGAGAAACCAGGGGATTCGACAAAGGAGTGGAGACAGCTTTCTGGTGTGGGGAAATCCAGACGTCAGAGGGGGTTTTGGAATCCTTAAAAAGAGTGTTACATTTGGCTAATAGGGTTGGATAGAGTGCATTTATACGGGCATGATAAAGGCGTTGGTTATTTAGAAGGAAGGTTGCATTTGAGAGTTTCCGGGCCCAGAGAGGAATCATGGGAGGCTTCTCAACCTAGGTTGGCATGTCGGACGGAATTTGACAAAGTTTGGTTTAATATACGCACCTTGACGTTTCAGCACGTACTCCCAATGTCGCCCTCAGTATGAAGATGAGCGATCTATTGCGCTAGGCTGTGTTAGGCACTAGCATGTCTGGCTCTATACACGAGCCTTCATCACTCAACCACCTCTCCCACTAACTTTCGTGATACAAAACTCTATGGATATCATTTAAGGGGCAAGTATCAGCCGAATCTTGCCTCTGGCGATATTTACTGGGCAAGAACTGCTTGACCCGGGCAATTCCATGCTGAACGCTGGACCGGAAATGTTTCCGACTCCTCAAGACCGGGTTTCTCTTCCAGGCTGGCCCCTTTCCCGGAGATAATGTTTGGTTCCGATTCGTAGGTTACGAGGCGCTCACATTGCATCAAATATCTCGCCTACAAGGGGTGGGAAAGCGTTCCTCCACGGAAATGCCTCCACACACGGATTTGATATCCGGGACACCTCTCGCCGATCTGCGGGGAACGGCTCTCCTCCGCACTTAATACTCTTCAAGATATTCTACTAAACGTCCTCAATCAACTAACTCATGGAACTCATAATGAATACAGCACGCACTCAAATCCCCCGTACTATTCTCCGCACCACCCGCTGTCACGCTCCACCACAATGCTCTCATCAACACCCCCTCATCCGCCCATTCTCAACACCCTCGCGCCGACACCACGCCTCAATTACCTCAGCAATCCGCGTCGACCATGACGAAGCCATTGAAAACCAGACTGTTGCTGCCATGGGCCGCACAACATCCGGAAAAGCCCTCAAGATCCGGAAATATCCCACATTCGAGAGGCTAGAAGATGAGCGGTTATATCGGAAGCAGCACTTAGCTGCTGCATATAGGATATTTGCGGAAAGGGGGTTTGATGAGGGTGTTGCAGGTCATATTAGTGTGCGGGATCCGGTGTTGACGGATCATTTTTGTATGGATGATTCTCCAATTGTTGCTTACCTGACAGTTCACTGGATGAGGGCTGTCTACAACAAGAAGCTTGAATAACGTTCAGTGGCCAGTATTAACAGCACTCAGGGCTCAACCCCCTCTCAACGCACTTCGCCCTCATCCGCGTCTCTGATCTCATCCTCGTTAATGAAGCCGGCGAAGTAGTTGAAGGAAACGAACCCATCAACGCCGCCGCCTTCGCCATCCACTCGGCCATCCACCGCGCACGTCCTGATGTCCATGCAGCCTGCCACGCGCATTCCACGTACGGCAAGGCGTTTTCGGCCTTTGGGAGAGAGCTGGATATGATTACCCAGGATAGCTTGAGATTTTATAAGAGCCATGGCGTGTATAAACAGTTTGGGGGTGTCGTGTTGGCGAGTGAGGAGGGGGAGCGGATTGCAAAGGCTTTGGGTATGGATAAACCTCTCTTATTCCTAGCTTCGGCACCATCCCCTCAATCCCCCTACAGTGTGAGGATGAACTACTAACACGCCACCTAGGCAATGGCAAAGCCGCCATCCTCCAAAACCACGGGATCCTCACTTGCGGAAAATCCGTCGACGAAGCCGCGTTTTGGTTCTTATCTCTTGATAAAACATGCCATGCGCAACTCCTCGTCGATGCCGCGGCTAAAGGTAGTGGGTACGAGAAGAAAATTATTCCAGATGCGGAGGCCGAGGAAAGTTATAAACAGGTGGGCACGCCGGAGAAGGGGTGGTTGGCGTTTCAGGGGTATTATGATGAGGTGCTGAAGAGGACTGGGGGGGAATTTTTGGGGTAGGGGGTGGGGAAGGGAAAGGGAAGTTTTGGGAACGGGACTGAGCTATTGCATAGTAGGACTTTTGAAATTCCAAAGCGATGCGGCCATTGCATAAGATCGGGCCAGTGCTAAAGACACATCAACAGCCGTGGTGTGTGTCTCTGGGATTGTTTATCGAATTTTAAATCCTCAAAGTTTTATTTAACAAAATTAGAGCAGGGGGATATATAGATCCATGGGATTGTATCGGGAAGAGGGGAAGGCCGTGATGTATCTCTTTGAGATTGCTTTCTCTTATGCGTGAATGTCTAATGGACCAAAAAAAAGCGAAGGGGTATAGATCATCCCTAGGTATAAATCGGAAAGAGGGGGGAGCCGCAACAAGGGTTTAGCCGAAGATAAGATCGTGTTTCAAGGTTTCGGTACTCCGGGGATTCATGTAAATCGTGGCTTCGCTTTCCTCGATGAAGTTGTAGCTGTTATATTTGTGGATGGAGATGGATCGGCACCTGGAGGCTGAAATTCTGAAGCGCAGCGCTTGTCCAAAATGGGTTAGCGCTAAATGATCTTTTTCAAGCCAACTTTCGCTGTTGCTTTACTCTTCATTCTTAGCCAGGGCTTTCTCCTTTCAAATACCAGAGGAAATAGATCATTCAAAATTGTTGATACTTCGCATCTTAAAACAACCGCGAGCCATCCGCTAACTTCATCCGCCCCGTCATCTCGGCTGATGTCAAGGGTTGATATTCAGTTGTTTATTGCAAATGACGGCGTCCTCATTTCTATTCTATCAATTCTTTCATTTATGGTCGTGTCTGTTAATGAGTGCCTTCATTCCAGGTACGAACTGGAGATCTCTAACTACTTTATGGTCCCGAGATCCGGGATGTTCTTCGGCAGGCCGACGATCTACTTATAGGGTTGAAATCCCCCATGACTGCAGTTCAGAGAACATCCTATCTTCCTAGGTTTTTACTAGATCTTTATCCCCCGTCAGAATATAAGCCTTCCGTGTGGAATTTTACCCATTTGAAGTTATTGCCTTGCTTCCTTTCTTTCCCTCCACCATGCGCCCCTCCCCTTTAACCCTCCTCCTAAGCGTTGCCGCGGCGAGTCCACTCACCACCGACCAATCCCAATCCTCCACTCAATGCCCACTTATCTTTGATGGCCGAATTCCCGTCAACCTCACTCTCTCCTCTTTTGACTCTGCCACAACCTCCCCCTACAGCCCTTCATACGTCAAAGGTGAAAATCTAACCTGGTCCTCCATCCTCCTTCTCCCAAATTCCTCCACCAGCTACACTCCCTCCCGCTTCGACATCCCGTCTGCCCACAAACCCTTCGAAGTAACAATATCCGATGCGTCGCTATTCCGCTCCGGCCAGGGCCTTCAACTCGGCTTCCGGCGCGCGGGATTGCTGTTGAGGGATGACAAGAACGAAGTAGGGGGGGATGCGGCGGATAAGGGTGTTGTGACTTTTCATTGGAGTGTAGCGCAGGATGAGAAGAGAGCGATGAATTTGAGTCACGAGTATATGAATGTTTGGCACGAACGGGCGGATTATGCTGGGAATCAGTTTAGTTTGTTGGCGGGGGTGGTGTTGGTGCAGGATGGGGGGAATGGAGTGGATACGAAGGCTGAAAGGGAGATGTGGAAGGTTGTGGGGAGGAATAATACGGTTGTGTTTCGGACACCTATCCAGTGGGCCGGTTGGGAGAATTGGGCGGTGCAGCTGGATTATGAGAAGAGGTGAGTTACGGGATCATAGGTACAGCATTTGCTAACATATTGTAGTACTCTCCAGGTCTTCTACTCGGTTGGAAATGATCCATTAAAGTCAGTCACGGACCGAATTCCAAATGATAATTCTGGAGGTGGACAGTTGCAGTTGGGGATGGCGAAGAAGCCAACGGAGACTAAGACTGTGGTTTGGGATGGGTATCAAGAACCGCTGAACGATAGGACTGAGGGGCAAAAGTATGGAGGTGTGTTCGTTGAAGATAGTTCTGGGGGCTGTGTTAGCCTTTGAAGAAAGTTAGTGCAGTGTATACAGAGTCGGTTTTAGTTCTGTGGTGGCAGAATTGTGGAATGGGGTTGACAGCGTATGGTGAGGAATGTCGATTATTACAAAGGGATATTGTATCCGTGAAAACTGTTGCTGGGACTAGGAAAAACGTCACGAGAAAACAGCCTTCTGTCTAACTGGACCTTCTATTCCATGATAAGCGCCATGCAGTACATAAGAGTAAAGAGAACGGCTGGATGCCAAAGTGACACTTTGCCCGCATTCCCCTGCTACGACTCTTCACAACTCCGTATTACATGCCATCCCATCGGAAAACCCCAACATCCGGCTTGTGCGTTCTTGGGTGAGGGATTTATCTCACTCTCCCTCCCTCTCTATGTCTGTCGGCACTTATTCCCAAATTCCGAGCGTTGCGGAAACTACTTACCTAATTCCTGCATAGCGGCATCCGCGTGTGCAGTTTCGGTTTCATACTCCGCTTGGCTTGGCACGTGAATGCGCAATCTTGGCGCGAGGCGGATTCAAGACTCTGCTGAGACGCGTGGTGGATCCTGGCGGAGCTTGGCAGAGAAAGCTTGGGCGTCGCGGTAAGCTAGACTTCGGTGAATGGTCAAGCGAGTTGGCGAATTGACAAATCGTCAAACGCAAAGCAGAGCGGATTTAATAGATTGTGGATCAGACTGAGGGCTGGGTGGCGTTTGCTGCAAAGACAAGGGAGGGGAGGGGAGAGAGTAAAGGAGAATTTTGATCACGTAGTCGTTACATTCCGAGATTCTAGTCTTTTCTACAATACCAACTAAGCTCCAAATCGCCCGAATGCGCCCGCCCGTCCCAGGTGGTTTAGTTATTCCGTGTACTGATGACGAAGATGCTGTAATATTGTTGTTGACACCCCAATAAGATCCGACGAAGAAAAAAAGTCATGACCAGTTTGTCACGATACAGCATCCACCACCATTCTTGAGTCCCCACACGTGCCCTAGAGTTGTATTAAGTCCCCTCTTTTCCACTTCAGACCTCGGTGATAGCGACAAGAGTCATCTTGGGCGCCTCCGACTCCTCCTCAACGAGGCTGTCCCTCTTCTGCCTAGCACCACCTGCTGGTGCACCGTTGGCAGCGGAGTTGGCAGGGACGTTGAGACCAGCATTAACAGTGATACCGACACCAGACGCAGGAGTACCGAGTTCGATCTTGGGTGTATCCTTCATCGCTTCGCGGGCGTAGCCCAGAGCTTCACGGAAGCCGGCAATATCACGCTTGATCCATGCCATAGCTTCTTGGGCGAGAGCGAGGGTCTCTTTGGCGTCGGCTACGGCAGCTTCACGCTTGCCGAAGTGTTCGATAGTTCGGACGTTGGGTGCGGGGGCGGCGATGTCGCGGGCTTTAGCTGCGGGTTGTTCAGCAGCTTGTTCACCTTCTTGCTGTTGCTGTTCGCCATTTTGCTGTTGTTCTTGTTGTTGCTGACCTTGTTGACCTTGCTGCTCACCGCCGTTTGCTGCGGCCCCAGACGCGAGTGTCTCCATCAGTCGCGATGCGCTTTCCGTCGATCCCAGTGAGATTTCACCATCACCGACTACCAGGGCGGGTGAGTATGCGCCAAGGTTGATGTTGAGTGGGACGGCGGAGACGGCTGCCACGAGCAGGATGATAACGTTCTGAGGAAGCATTTTGTCGGTGGGGTTTGATTGAATTATAGACTTTCAAATACGATTCGGTTGATTGGAGCGAAGGTTGTAGAAAAAAAAGAGAATCGAACGGAGCGAATACGTGATCTAAAATAAAAGGCAAGAAAGTCTATCGCCCGGCGACAGAAAGCTATGATTATGATATAATCGGTAGAAGTGAAAGTGAGTGGCCGGCCTACAAAGAAGAAGTTCAAAGCAGTGGATTCGACTGGCCTTTTATGGGGCTTGAAGCCATGAGAGGATCAATCTTCACTCAGAGCCCCCGCCAAGCCAGTCCCGCTGTTTTAAGGCGAGGTTGAAACTTCTGTGATGCTGGGCCAAGAAGAGGCAAGACTAGCATGGCAGACATCCCAAATCTTTGCCGTGGTGCACACCGCCAAGTGAGTATCGCCGCTTTTGAGCCCAGGTCGAAACTTCTGTGATGCCGAGCCAAGCAATGTAAAGCCTGTCTTGAGAGAGGCCTGCCTTGGATGGACATGGGGGAGGCCCGTGCACGTGGCATCGATACGTCTTGGCCTGGAGTCCAAAGGGGTTGCCTGTTGCAGCCAAGAGACTTCAGCACTTCGGGCTGCACCTCTTGTCACATTGATTCTCGAAGGTGAGGGAACTGGATGCGGCCGCGATGAGGTGGTTGGAATGTTTGTTTCTGATTGCAGCGGCTAAAGCCTTAGTCGAGCCGCCAAATGGGTTTGTATGGAGCCTCTTCATGAGCATCTCCGACGTCTAGTTTGTGGAGATATCTGCAAGTGTCAGTACATCTGACAGCGGCACGAAGCATACAAGGTCATACTAGGCAATGCTTAAAGCCGCATGCGGATCCTTCCACGAGGCTTGAGATGCCAAGTGCGTCAATTAGACGGAAAGAATTACGTGAAGAATCACTGGGCAGAGGCGCATTTTGCGACCGGATTGCCAAAATCTAGCGACCACCTTAGGCAAGGACGCGTGAACAACGGAGTAGGGGATTTCTTGGCGGGATGTCTCCGGGGGGAACGTTCGTCGTTCTGGACCCCCAGGACGCCGAGCTGGGCGCTTTGAGCTTCACATGGAGAAGCTTCGCACGAGACGGTGGGCGTGTTGGCCAAGTGAATCGGCGAGAAGCTTCGGCGGCGAAGAAGAGTGCGTATTTGGGTTTTGAAGTTTGAGGTCTCGCCTGTTAAGGCAGAGAGGTCTTGGCTCCGCCCCAAAAGGTCCTCAGTTCCGGCAAAGGTGCGACGAAATGTTTCTTGGCCCTCCGCTCGTCGGCGCCCATCGAGCGGGAGTTTACCGAATCAAGATTCAACGCATGTATCAACAATGCGCTCAGACTTTCGAAGAGCGAACGTGCGTATGCACACAGCTTACGTGGTCTATACCACCGTGCTCGAGGGTGTCTCAGCGGAGAGATAACATTTATTTGAGGACATCGGACAAGACTCTGGGCGCGTATGCAGATGCAATAGAACCGATACCCGATGGTATGTCGCATGTGTGATTGGCGGAGGGAGCAAGGGAAGCTGTGAGAGATATCAGGAAGCCGAAAGCCCATTCTCCGCAGGATTGAAATTCCGACCCGAGCGGTTCTCCTGGATTTTCAGGAGAATGAAGAAGTGCACTTGGCAAAAGAGGAGGTGCTCACTGTGTTGCTTGGGTGGAAAGTAATCCTACTTGGATTAAAGCTCCTTCCCGAAGCTGGACCTCCCGATGAATGCTTGCCGAAAGGAACCAAGGTTATGTTGCTCTATGATTTGAACCACTGACCGAATGCAAGCTCTAGGTTCGGCGTGTGGTCTCAGACCCAGAAGGCACTACATGGAGCACATCAGGTCAGTCCCACAGCCCACTTCTCCGAAGACCCCTCTTCCTCACGATTCATCGGTGTTTGGTGATGGTAGTGGAAAAGCTAAGAATTAGCGGAGACACCACACAGTTCAATTCAATTCAATACCCTCTATGTGCATTCCTACCATAGCACTCATTCTTCCTAGCCCAATCTTGCAAAAGTTTGGTCATTATTTATCGATTCGGACGGACGACACTCCTATGCGTTCTCCTGTGAGTGTCTAGTCACATTTCTCCAAATCGTAAGTCAAAATTTGCTGAAAACGATAGTAGGAGTCGTAGCCGGTTGCTCCTCGAATCTGGGGTATTCCTGCTCCCTTACTTTCGATGGTCACCTCTGTCCTGATTTTGATAACCTTATCATTTCCACAACCTGTCTTCCACTTCTTCGACGGAATGGCAGATGTGGCAGTCGTTCCACTTGTGGCGTTTAGAGAATCGAGTGGGCCATCAACGCGAATCGTGTCCGTGGACTAGACTTATAAGCAAGAAATCGAATGGCGGGAAAATGATAGGAGCCAACCTCGTTTCCTTCCGGAAGGTAGTAGGTAGTCTTCCATATGGCCAATGTACCTGCTGGTAGCAGGTAGCGAGCCGTGAATGAGGTCCCATTCTTGTCAGTATTGCTCACGCGGTATCCAGTAGCATTCACGAACTTCCATTCATGATGAGACCACCGAGTTCGACCAGCTGGACTTCTTTCTGAAAAGACAGCGGCGCTCATGGTGGACGGCAGATTCAGTGCGTACCGGAAGATGCATCTGTTTGTTCAGGATCATCCACACGCGCAGCCCACACATAATCGACCACCCAGGTGTGGCAATTGGAGCTCTCGATATGACAGCCTGGGCCATGCAACTAGCGAGGAATAATAGTCGTATCGTTTGGAGGGAAAATGATCTTGCCAAAATAATGGCCGGTGAAGGTAGAGAGAGCGAAGATGGTATGAAACTTCATGGCGTCGATATAGACATCAGGTACGTATATAACCTGCCTTTTCAATCTCCGAGTGAGGGCTAATAACTTAAGTCGTCTTCGAAGGACACAGCCATTTAAATACTACCCAAGGATTCGACATCTCGATACTTAGGCAATCCAGACAATACGAACATAATAGTACTCCATAATGTAATGCTTAAAGGCCAGTTTCTATGACTGCTGAAATCGCACAATTATGCGTAGCTGTTGTCTTCATCCTAGGAAGACATGCGGAGATAGGCCTCCGCTATCGTGCAGTACAAATTTTGTATAGACGCGAGAGGAGACCAGTCTAAGACTTTCCCCGCAAGAGTTTTAATGAAGGAACCGGAACTGACCACCTTCAGTGTTCTGTCGTCGCGACGCAAATAAAAAGCAACTTGAAGTCAACGAATAGAGCTGACTTGCTCTAGAGAATTAACATTCCAGTTCCGTTCCATATTCAAAGCTTAGGTTTAGCCCTAGGTTGGATACGGGGCCAATAATGAAGCCGAATTCCTCTCGTTTAGCCTAGGACCAGAGGGGTGAGCATTCCATTCAGATTAGTGCCTTGGTCATGGTAGTGAAGTCAAATAATTCCCCCGCTCATCTAACTCATCTAGAGTGATGACCATGCATGCGTTGGAGGAGCATACAGATGTCGAACCATAGAATGACGACAGACATTGGGCCCGGAGCACATTCGAGTACACCCAATCTCATGTCGATTGGTGGCACTGCCGAGATGTAAAGCGTGATACATTAGGAAGAACTCTAACCAGAGAAGAAACAAATAGCGTTCAAATCCCTCGTTAAGCTTTGCAAGTGCTGAGCTCTGAGATTAGAAAAATACAGAATGCATCCGCCGCTCCCAAAAAGTCTGTGCGTAGCCGCTGACCGCCAAGCTCTGGCGGGGCACCGCGGTGTCATCAAATATTACACTATCTCTACCGCCAAGCCCTCTCTCCTATTGGTCCAGATATAAGCCGGCTATTAATTTAATTAGTAGAAAATTAGTAACTAAAAAGCCGCGTTACTGTTTGTTTTTAAGCTTTAAGTAATTATTCTCCTATGCTACATGCTTAATCTAGTCTTCTTTTTTTCCTATCATAATTAACTACTGCACAGTTAGGGGTGTAAAAATCACTTCTACAGTGTAATTTTTCCTGCTAAATGTAATTAGCTCTGCTAAGACCTTCTAAGCAAAGCCTGCTACAGGCAAAAAAGGGGTTCTAGAGAATCTCCCCCTAGTTAAGCAAAATAGTAGTGCAACTTTAGGCTTTAGCTTTACATCTACTCTAACTTATTCTAATCTTTCCTAACTAGACATTATCTACTTTAATACTTTTGCAGCCTTAGTTAACCTTACTTTATAATAATAATAAGTTATAGTAAGCTACTATATTATAGCTATCTATAATGTATATAAGTGTATTAGGTTATTCTATGTTATCTACTAACCTCTATAAAGAATTGTAAAGGCCTTAAAATTACACCTAACATAATATTAGCCTAATATAAAACACTTTTAACTATTTTTTTTTTCTTTAAGCTATAAAGCTATACTAATTATATTAAAATTAAAAGCATATTTGCATACTATAAACTATTATATAGAAGGTAAAGGCTTAAAAGTGTTCTATTACTTAAAATAATAAGTTTAGATAGCTTAAATTTTTTTTTATATAAAATTTTTTCTTAGAGGTTTTTAGCCTAATTAAGTTCTTTTTTAAACTTAATAAGAACACTATTTTAGAAAAAGTTATACTTTTAAAGACTCTAAAAAAATAAATTTATTTAGTGTAGCATAGGCCTTACTGCGCTTTATTTTAATAAGTAAGATTTTAATCTACTTAAAGTTAATCTATCTCTAATCTGCTTTAACTTTTTTTAATTAGTACCTTTCTCTTTTAACCTATCCTCTTTTTTTTATTATACAGTGTTATCCCTTTATATTATTACTATATAGACTTATTGCCTACTTTCTGCTTAGTCTATAATAACTACAGACCTTTCTCTAACTTCTTTACTAATAAAGTTAGAGCTTTTTATTACTAGTGCAACAGGTATAGCTGTGCAGTATGTTGCTTTATTATAATTATTATATTCTTTAGCGCTTATATCTAGTTTTATTTAGGCGTGTTAGCTATTAGCTAATGTTAACTCTAATGTATAACTCTTAAAACATGTTTAAGCTCGCGCTACTACAGTCTAATTAGGTCTATGCTAGGGCTAACCTGCACATGCTAGGCGTGACACTGCATTAAGCAGAACGCTAGTGCTTAATTAATTATTTTATACATATTAAAACCTTTTTAAAACTTTTACACTTTTCTTTACTTTTTCTACACTATCTATTTAGATCTATTATAATATATAATTAACTTTTTCTAAGTTTTTTACACTAACTTCTACTCCTTCTACGCTGTCTATATATATATATTATTATAATATATAGCTAACTTTATAAAGACTTGTTTAATCTCTACCCTCTTAACACACTCTAGATTAGCCTACTTTATCTCTATCTATGTGTAGAGATTAGGAGCAACTAAGGGCTAGTCTCTTATAAGATAATTTACTAAAGGCATATATTATTACTACTATAAACTATATTACTCCTATTAACTTTAGTTTAATACAGAATTCTATAAGTAGCTATTCTAACTATAGTGCTTTTTACTAGCTTAAGAAGCAGGTTAATAAGAGTTAGGCAGATTCTCCTTAGTACTCTATATATTGCCTAATAGGTGATATTAACTTTTTAACTTTTCTAGATCTACCTCTATTCTTGCATTATCTTTTGCAGGGTAGGCACCTACTTAGTAGATTCTTTTAAAAGCATCTTTAATTATATAACATAGCCTTAGCTTTTATGTTAGCTAACTATAAACAAATAAATTAAAGTGCGTGTAGTATAAGCATAAAAGTTTTTTAAATTATAAAGAAGATGTACTATATGCACAGCTTATTAGAGCCTGCTAAGGGGGACGTTCTCTTCTACGCACAGCTGTACTTTTACAATCCTGCCTAGGCTAACAGTGCGCGTATAGAGCATTAGGCTAATAGTAGTCTTAATCTAACTATACTTACGCAGCTGCTACAAATAGTTAAGACAGATTATAATAATTCTTAGATTAAGATATATAAAACTGCACATAAGTAGTTGCAGTAAGCTTATAAGTAAAATAAGAAATTATAGATTACTCTTAATTTATAACTATAGTTAATTATGCAGGCTAGGGCTAATTAATGTTAAAAAAACTTGCCTATTGCTAAGAAAATTACTACTCTAGTCTATAATAAGCTAGTTAAAAATTATAACTAAGATCTTATTTTTTACTACTAACTTAGCTTTAATTTAAGACACTGCTAGTCTCTATACTAAAAAATTAAACATATACATGCAGTATATTAGCCTCTCTACTACATTTTAATGTTTCTATAGGGTACCCTTAGGTTTTACTATAGTTTACAGCTGCGTACTTTACGCATGTCTTACACCTAGGATACTCTAACTAATTCTAAGTATTACTAGTTCTACTTATTTTCCTAGTGTAGCAGTCTTATTATGCCTTTTAATTATAGTCTATTATTCTAGCAATTTGTTGTTAACTGCTAGGCTTAGTGTAAACAAAGGAAGTTATAGTAGATTGCAGTAAATTAAAGACAGTTATGTGCTAATCTATATTAAAGAGTGCGTAATGCATTAGATTAAAATAACTTTTAGGCTAATTTAGTTAGAATTTAGACTGTTTTTTTTTTAAGTTACATTAGCAGTAGTTACTTTATTACATAGTGTTATTAAAACTTTATAGCTATTATTTAAAAGCTTAGTTAACTTACTTTATTTATTACTTTTACTGCTAATCCTAAATAGCTAGAGTTAGAGCAGGAGATTAGTACGTTCTTTTAGCTATTAGATTAGCTAGATCTAGTCGCGCGCGTTTTTAAGCTGCGTTTTAACTCCCTCCTTGCAGACCTCTAGACTAACTATGTATTTAGCTAGTATACTAGTATTATATATACTATTAAGTACTAGAAGTAGAGTTTACTTTATGCTTACATTCTACTTTTTTTATGTTATAATTACTATAATTAGTTCCTTAATCTAAACTTTATTAATTAGGTTATATAAGCTAAGCTTTTTATAAAGGCTTAAGATCTAAATAAAGTCTTAAGTAACATTATTAAAACTACTATAGTTTATAGGCTATATAGAACCTTAAATCCTAGCATGCCCTATATGCAGACTACAGAGCGTTCTCTCTAAGCAACCTGTTAGAAGCAATTCCTAAAGGAATACGCTAATAAGACTCTAGTTAGTAGAAATAGTTATCTTATATATTAGCATTAACCTAGTTTAACTTAGGTTATAAAGTGTTATAGTTAAGATGTTATAGTTAATAATTGCTAAGTAGTGCCTTATAGTTTATACCTTTTATGTAAGTATAACACACATGTTAACGTAGAGGTCTGTGCCTTTATAAAGTTAGTTAAATATATACATAAGTATATCTATAAGGGCACTAATTAGGTTGTTATCTGTATCTAGTAAAAGGACAAGGTTGCCTAGTATCTAAACATGCGCTATATTAGACTAACTAAGGCTGTTTAGCAATTAATAAAGTTTAAAGTTTATAAAAAAAAGCCTTCTGTTATTTAATTAGCAGTGCATTTACTAGAATAGCATATAGTCACCTTTTATAATAAGGACAGTGCTAAATAGGTGGAGATTGCAGTTAAATAGAAAAAATTATTATTAATAAGATAGTTAGAGTATA